TAACCCCTTGAAAATTTCTTTAGTGAAGAAATATCTACCACAGTTTGAACAATGTAATTCTAATTAAATTAACACATACAATAACATTTTGTCAGACTCCCCTGTTAGTAGGTTAGACCCCAGGACTGGCTTACCCTCCAACCATTGGCCTAGGCTGGCCCTCAGAAGCATGAGAGGAGGGAGGTTCAGCTTCACCCCAGGCCACAGGGAGGTCTGGCTCTTCACCCCTTGGCACACCTTTAGACGACTTTTTGAAGGGTGGCCTGGAGGCAGAGTGGCCTTAGGCTCTACCAATCCCAACAGCCATGGGACTAGATTGTGGGAAGGACAAGGCCCAGTGCCAGTGACTCTGTGCCTTCTGTCCCACCCTTCCTCTTGTCTGCCTCAAAGGACCATGTGCTTGGCCCTTGCAATCTCTTGGCCCCTCCCTGCCCCCATGACCGACTGTTCCTGTCATTCCTCCCTCTGTAATGGCTGCTGCTGTGGCCTCTGCTTCCTCCTCCTGGGGCTGCCTGAAGGATTCTCCTCCTTCACAGGCTGCTGGGTCACTTCCTGCAGCTCCTGACTGGCCTGCTTTGCTGCTGCCTCCAATGTTCCCTCTAAGCTGTGGAGTCTTGTGAGCAAAAAATCAGCTTTGTGAGCTACTGGCATTAAAGTTGTGAGCGAGCCATTTGGCTACTGCGTAAATCAGTTTGCTTTGGAGCCCTCCTTCCTGAGCTAAGACAAAAATGTGTGAGCCGGAGGCTAAAAAACTGTGAGCTGGCTCACACTAACTCAGCTTAGAGGGAACATTGGCTGCCTCTGACTGCCAGGGCACTTGTGGAGCTAGTGAGTGTGGGGGCCGGGCTGCAGGGTCAGGATACATTTATTCCACGAAATAATGACCATGTGAAAATGATCCTGATCATATAATAACACAATAGATTCATTTGTCTGCATTTGGGTCTCATAGAACCATTGGGTTTTCAAGCAATTGTGCCCCAATTTTTAAAGACTTCTGAGCTGTTGATATACTTAGCAGGATGACTAGTCTGATGCATTAACTATTGTTTACTTTTTATAATAGATTGTGTGATTGCATTGCTTAGTTATTATCCAGTGGTGCTTTAAGGCACTTTCCCTCTTCTGAATTTAGCTATCTTCTCTTGTGTTTTATTATTAGGAATGACAATAGGCATGGATAACTTATGTAGCATAGTCATAGCATTAATTTCATGGAGCTAAAGATTTTAGGTTCAGCACTGGCAGATAGCCAGATAACTCATTATTAATATAATGGTATTAATTTGAAAGGAGCTCTGTAATGCTGTGTGAGAAAGTTTATAGGTCTTGTGAGAGTACTTTGCTGAACACTGCATTTCTTGTAGGGTGACAGAAATGTTTGTTCAGCACACTTGACTAGGCAAGATACACTTTTTGAATGTTTTTCTTGCTGGCATCACATGCATAAGCACTTTATTTGCAAGTTATTATATTGGCTTGAAGACAATATCAATTAGGGTACTCCGTACATTTTAAGTAATTTTGCAGAAGAGACTATCTAGAAAATGCCTAAGTAGTACCTGAGCCTGCTTTGGCAGGGAGGGCAGGGTATAAATCAAACGAATAAATAAATAAATATAAATAAATAATTTTTCTGGGGAAAATAGGATTTTTTTTCAACGTTTAAGTAAATTAATCATTGTAAATTGGAAGTTACTATATTTTAGTAGATAAATGATAATGATGGCCTCCCAGCTTGCAGTCACGAGATTGAGGAGAAGAGTACAGTAAGTGTACTTGATATATCAAATGTCTGGCGTTGTTTTACTGCTTGCTTATCATTTTTGTTATGATTATTTTAAATCCTTAATAAATTATGCCAATCATATTTGAATGTTTGGCATTTGTACGGATATGCTGTCTTTGACGGACTAATATTGTTACAGTGCAATCCTAAACAGAGTTACAGCTTTCTAAGCCCATTGACCCACACATCATCTGTCCTGCTAGATCTATTAGCATTTCTATGAAGGTGGGCTGAGGTACTTCTGGAAAGCAGTTGAACTGGCCTCTCTCCTTCCTGCTCTCTGCCCAGAGAGAAAAAAACTTTTAAAACTCAGAGTGAAGGTTTTGCTCATTTCAAACTTCCAAGGAAAAAATGCATTTCTTCACATTTCTTTGCATTTCTTAGGATGCATTAACAGAAGCATTGTGTCCAGATCACGGGAGGTGGTAGTTCTGCTCTATTCTGCTATGGTCAGGCCTCACCTGGAGTACTGTGTCCAGTTTTGGGCATCACATTTTAGGAAAGATGTTGACAAGCTCGAGGGTGTCCAGAAGAGGGCAACCAGGATGGAGAGAGGGTTGGAATCCAAGTCTTATGAGGAAAGGCGGAAAGAGTTGGGTATGTTTAGCCTGGGAAGGAGAAGGCTTAGAGGGGACATGATTGCAGTCTTCAAGTATTTGAAGGGCTGTCATGTAGAAGATGGAGCAGATCTATTCTCTCTTGCTCTGGATTGCAAGACTAGATCTAATGTGTGGAAATTATAAGGGAGTCGTTACCGGCTAAATATCAGGAGAAACTTCCTAGCTGTAAGAGTGGTTGAGCAGTGGAACAGTCTGCCTCGGGAGGTGGTGGGTGCTCCTTCGCTGTACGTTTTCATGCAGAGGCTGGACAACCATCTTTTGAGTATGTTGTAGGGCTGTCTTTTGGCTCCTGCAGAGTGCAGGGGGTTGGACTAGATGACCTGCAAGATCCCTTCCAACCAGTGTTCCCTCTAAGCTGAGTTAGTGCGAGCTAGCTCACAGTTTTTTAGCCTCTGTCTCACACATTTTCGTCTCAGCTCAGGGAGGATGGCCCCAGAGCAAACTAATTTATGCAGTAGCTAAATCGCTCACTCACAACTTTAATGCAGTAGCTCACAAAGTAGAATTTTTGCTCACAAGACTCCACAGCTTAGAGGGAGCATTGCTTCCAGCTCTAACATTCTATGATTCTATGATTCTATTCCCTGCCAGAGTTTTCCCTTTACTAGTGCTCTGTATTCTGTTATCACTGCAGTCCAACCCAGATTGTGGTCTCACTGATTTCCAATGCTTGTATTGTATGGAGGAGTATTCAGCCACATGAACCCCACTCTCTCACATACACCCGAAGTCAGAAGTAGTACGACTCAGTCTACTAACTTTGGCTTGCTGTTGAGCATTTGATCTCTTGTGCTTCTGATGAAATGCTGTTGACAACATGGAACTTGTGTGTAAAATAAACCTTTTCAAGATCACTTAGCCTTATAAAGGCACATTGTATATTAATATTCCTTAATCATGGGAATCAAATTTTCCTCAGTGTTATTTTAAATAATTTAGGTTGGTGCTGCAACACTGTTTACTTCAGTTGAAAGCTCAAGTGCATGTAACATTATCAGTGACTAAACAGGAAAGGCTAAATTTAGCCATGTGTTCATTTAGGATCTGTGGTATGTCTGAAAGTGTAATTAAGACATCAAGATTGTTACAAACAAAATTGTTTTGTTTTACACTAGAGTTGTTTTGTTTTGTTATGCACTAGAGTGAGACAGGAGATTAATTTTGGAGATTGAAATAAAAATTGTCTGCGAAGCTAAAACTCAATTTCACTTACTTGATGAGGGTTTTTTAAAGATGCCTGTTTAGAGCGTGATGATTGTAGCACTCAGAATACTAATTCAAAGGCAAAAATTTGAGAAATTATTGGTTGCCTGTACCACATAGGTACTACATCCTGACTTTTCTTTAGCGTATGACTCTGTACTTACCATTTCATCAAAGTCACTTCTTAAAGTGACTATTTTATTAATTTTGGCAGCAAAATGTTAAGGAATAACTTGTTGGCTTTGACTGGCTTGCATGTATATGCATATTTTATATGTAGAGGGGACATAAGACCTTATAATGGGAAAATTTTGTTGAATGTATACAATAAAAGAACCTTCCTTTCACTGTCAAAACAGTCTGTATAGCTCAGTAATGTCTACTGTTCTCTGAGGTTTCAGGCAAGGGTGGTAAGAAATCTGCTACCTGAGATTATTTTAAAGTAGCTGTTCAGTGATTTACAGTAGGAACTTGATCTTTACTCAAGCTACAGTTACATAAAACTTACATGTATCGTGTGGTTTGGCCCTCATTCTTTGGGTTTCTTATTTTGTGTAGTTTGTTATTTGTAAGCCTTGTTTACTCAAATGTTGAAGGTAGACCATTTAAACTCCTTTCATTTCAATGTATTCATTTTCATTTGAAGAATCCTTGCACAAATGACATTTTTGTATGTGGGAATATAGAGTTCTAGGGTATGATGCATGATGAGCTTCTTTTTCTAAAAATCACAAAATGGCCATCTGCAGGAAAGAACTGATCTGTGAGAGAAACAAGGAATATCTGCAACTTTTGTTGGTCAACAGGTGACTAAGGTACCTGTTGCCTTAAATTGTAGGTGATACAGTGAATCTTGCTGTGCCTAGTTATGCTTGAAAATAATATTTTTTCCCCTAAAGTAAGGACCAGTAACTCATCTGGAACTGTTCATTCTTGTCCTTGCAGATGAAGCCACAGGAGGGGGTAGGGGCATGTAGCATGTGCTATTTCTCAAGGAAGGAACATCAGAACTTTTTAAGTGCTGAGGCCAGTTGGGGCAGTCTGCTCAAGTTTGGGGGAGGGTATGTATTGTTTCTGATACTGTACTGATTTGGTGGTGGTATACTCTGATTCTTCCATCTGAACTCTCCTTTTTGTTGGGTCACTCTTGGGGCTACACAGCACATTTGACTGGACAAAAGTGAGAAGGAGCTACACATTGCTCGTGAAATTTCCATACACCTTAGGGAGGCTCACCTTGAACTTTTAGAACCTTGGCTGTTGAGGCAGTACAGTATCTGCTATAGAAAGAAAGATGAGAGCAAAGTAGTTTGGTTAACCCTGTTTAGATCAAAGTTCTGTAAGTATTCAAAGCAGTTTGCTAATTTTGCTATTTTTTAAAAAAATAGGAAGAAGAGAATTTGTCCAAAGATTAAAACTTGAAGCAACGCTGAATGTCCATGATGGCTGTGTAAGTGGCCTTTTAAAATGTTGCTTAAACAAAATATTTTTGAGCTGTACTTTCTATGAAAAAATGCAATATACTTAAAGGTATCTATTTTATGTTTTCTAGATGAACTATAACATTCAGTTTAGTGCATTTTGTTATAGGATCTTTCTGTACTTTCCAACGTGGTTCTTGTAGATAGTTTAATATAGTGCATTTACTATTCAGTATGAAAATTATAGTAATTTTAAAACATGCTTAACCAAATTCAGTCAAATGTAGAGATTTTTTTCAGCTTTAATTAAAATTTGTTTCTTAAATATGTTGTACAAAAATGTAAGTTAAGCATTAGAGAACTAGAATGTTGTATTCATGGGATAGTTCATCCAGCAAACATAGACTAATTTACAAATTTGCTTTAAAAGACAGATTTGACAGTTTGACTTCCAATAATATTATAACCATGCATTGAATTTATGGCACTGAAAGTGCATAGGGGTTGTTGTTGTTTTTTTTGGGGGGGGTATTTTTTAATATGTGCATATGCATGTGTGAGTGTGTGTACCTGGAAGTCATGAAAGACCATAGTTTTAGGGTTGCCAGCTTTGGGGGTGGAGCCTGGAAAGGGCAGGGTTTGTGGAGAGGAGGGGAGCAGGATATAATGCCTTAGAGTTTACCCTCCAGCAGGGGAACTGGTCACTGTAATCTGGAGAACAGTTATAATTCTCATATATCTCCAGGTTCCACCTGGAGGATGGGAACTGTATAGTTTTAGGATCAAGAATATTTAAAAATTAAATACTGAAAATTCATCCTTATGAATTACTGGGCAATATTTGACCAGTTTTCTTTCTCAGGATGTGTTTTTTTGTCTGCTGCTGAGGGAGAAGAGGAAGGGGTCAGTTACAACAAGCATAGGTAGTGTCTCTTACCCTGTCATTCCACCCATTCTCTTTGGGCCCTATGCTGTTTGCACACTGGAGTGCCAATTTATTACCATAGGGAGTGGTAGCTGGTTCTTCCTTGTTCTTTCCATAAGAGTTTAAAGTGTGTTTTAAAGTTACAGAAGTGTAAACATAGTGTCATCCAGAGGGCTGCAGATGGAGGAGAAAAGTACTGCTTGTGCAGTTTGCTGTACAAATGTGCAAGGCCTCACACATAACATGTACATAAACAGTATTCCGTGTGCTGATTTTTCCCATGCTACAATTTTGCACAAGGAAAACGTACTTCACATGTAAAACCAGGGTATGCATGTGGATCATGGCTAAGAGCATTGCTCTTTTCTTTTCTTTTCTTTCTTTTCTTGCTGTGGACTGCTTGCAAGAGATATATATTATTATAATTGGAATTTTAAAATCTGTTGACTTTTGCAGAACCTAATGTTTTTGTTTAGAAAGTTTAAACATATCAGACTTTGTAGTTATCTTTTATTCTTCTTTATCATTATTTTGGGTTTTTTGAAGGATTAAGCTTTGTTTTAAATATTTATTCATAGGTGAACACAATTTGCTGGAATGATACAGGAGAGTACATTTTATCTGGGTCTGATGATACTAATCTTGTCATTACGAATCCATACAGTAGAAAGGTAGGATGGTTTGCTGTCCCCGCGAATATTCTTGTGGGCAGAAAACTTGCTTATATTTATATATTGTATTGGAAGTGTTTTTTATTATATTGATGGATCCTAAGGCAGGCCCATAGCCATGAGGGGCTCCTGGGGGCGATGCCCCCTCCCGAATGGGTCCTGCCCCCTACCTAGGGCAGGGCTGCGGGGCCGAGCGAGACCCAGAGTCGCTCCTCCCCCACTGCCCTTGTGTGCCTGGGAGGTGGCACAAGTCAGCAAGTAAAAGTAAGGTCTTTAAAGAGACATATGTGAAAATAAAATTGGATTAGCATTACTAATTGGATTACCATAAATTGGATTAATCTAATTAAGCTCCCCACTCCTGGTGTTTGCACCCCCACTGAAAATCTTCTGGTTACAGGCATGTCCTAGGGGTGTTCTGTTTGGTTGAAAGAATTGCTTCTTAGGTTTACAAAAACAAACAAGACCTAACAGCCTTCTACACAGGACTTTTCAAAGTGATCTCAATTCTACCACCCTCATGCAATGCTCCTGCTAAGCTGTGGAGTCTTGTGAGCAAAAACTCTACTTAGTAAGCTACTAGCATTAAAATTGTGAGCAAGCGATTTGGCTGCTGCATAAATTAGTTTGCTCTGGGGACATCCTCCCTGAGCTAAGATAAAAATGTGTGAGCCAGAAGCTAAAAAACTGTGAGCTAGCTCACACTAACTCAGCTTAGAGGGAACACTGCCCCCATGTATGCTCCTTCCCTGCAGCTGTTCTCATAGCACCTTTTCTCATGGCATTGATTTTGTTGTTTGTACCTCAGAATGTTGTTTCATGTTTAATTTAGCATGAGAATACTTCTAAGCAATAATGTATAGGAGGTGAATGTAAAAGTAAACAATAGATAATTGAAAAAGTTGGTGCAAACATTAGGTCTGTGCTAAATGGATGGTCTAGAACAAGTCATTACCTATCAACCTAACCGACCTCAAAAAGAGAAAGGTTATGAAGATATAAGATAAGGATAGATGGTAGCCTTCCTGCGGCTTTTGGGGGGTAAGGTGGGAAGGAAATATGTATATTTTCAGTTTTTCATGTATTACTTTAACTTAAAATAATAAATTAATAATGCTTGTTTTCTAGGTTTTAACAACCATTCGCTCAGGACACAGGGCAAATATATTCAGTGCAAAATTCTTACCATGCACCAATGATAAGCAAATTGTGTCCTGTTCTGGAGATGGAGTCATTTTTTATACTAACGTGGAACAGGATGCTGAAACAAACAGACAGTGCCAATTTACATGCCACTATGGAACAACTTATGAGGTACTGCAATATATTACCTTATATGCTTTTTTTCTACAGAGATGTGAATGCCCTCAAATGCCTGGCTTTTACTTTCACATTTATAATTAAATATTGTTTACTGTAAGCTTGCATTATGCGGGCACTGCAGCCTCTGCACCACATCCCATGCTGTTCCTGAAGGGCCAGGGAACTACTGGATGAAGGTGGTATGATGAACCCTTGTATCTCCCCAACTGTCTGGCAGATTTTCCCCACCAAATCTTCAGTTCCCCTCAGTAGACTAAGTTGCCCTACAGTAGCGTGTATATATTCTTTTTCATAAAAGATTTGATGGTCCCATCCTATGTTTAGATATTTAGTTTAGGCTTTTTCTCAGTTTAGGAACTCTGCTGAAAATACAGGAGCTGTCCAGTTTTTTTAAACCCTTGAGAAATGGCACTTGAGGCAAATTAACTTTCAAAAACAGAATCAGCTCAATTTGATACTTCGCAATATTTAAAACTGAATATGTTAATTAAGTGAGACGCTAATGTATATAAGCGTATTATTTTGACTCACTTCTAACTTCAACCTTTTCTAATTACTCCAAGGTACACTCATATTTTCTGAAAGATTTATATTATTTGTAAACTGTTTGACTTTAGTGAATATTTACCTTGTTTCTAGTTATTGTGGTAATATATTTGTTACTCTTCATGCTTTGTATTATAATGTCAAAAATGAAGTTATTCATGCTTACTATGTCATATGTATAACATCTTCAACTTCAATAAAAATCTTGATTTAAAAAAAAAACAGAATAAAGATTTTATTAAACAGGCAGGGAATATATGTATAAATGGAATAGTGAAGGTTTTGAGATTGCTGAGGTAAAAAAACTTTCTAATATGTACAAAGTTGAATTCTTAGTACATTCAAGAGAGTGTATTTGTAGTTTTGTTCCAAGGCTTTCTGTTTCTTTCTTTGAGAGGTACTTTGTTTAGTATATTTCAGCACTAAGTTCTTATTGATGTTTCTAGATTTCTTCCTTCAGAGTTCTAGGTTTTCCTTTAGATATTACAGCTTTTCACTAACTCCTGAGGTGTCTAAGCTTCTCCCTTTTATCACAGACCAGGGTTCTCTTCCCAACCCCTTTCACTGGCAGGAAGTTCTTCTTGTCCCTAAGAAGCAATAACTATTTTTACCATTTGGCTTGTTTGGGAGTTCTCTATAACTACCCAGACCTTCTGCCAAATCCTTCTCCAGTATTTTTTGCCTGTATAAGGCTGTTCTGTAGTTTTCCTGAGAATCTAAAATTCTCCCTCAGAGCAATTTTAATATATCTAAGAAAATGGGGTTTTTCTTCTTCTCTCTATAGAACCACTTTTCTTACTATTGCCTGTCAGAAAACACAGACTCCAAAATGTCTCTTCCCTCAGAAGCCAAACTCTCTGGCTACCGATCCAGACGTTAAAAAGACCAAATTGCAAAAGACCTCTTTTCCCTCCAGATCAGCTGTTTTATTTTCTCTTTCAGCTGATGCTGGCCAATCAGAGAGCAAGTAGAACAGTCAATCACATAAACTGTTTTCTTCAGGGAAGATTAACTCATGAAATCCCTGACTCTCTGACACAAGCAGCATTTTAAAAAGCCTGCTTTTCTGTGCAATCTGTCACAGATGGCAAAGGGAGTCCACTTGAAATTCCTTAGGTCTGTCATACCTTGGAGTTGGTATTGAATTATCAGCAGTATTATAAAAACTGTTTTAGCGGAAATAATTCAGAATTCCTATTTTCAGAATTAATTCAAAGTTAAAAAATATTTCCCAGTGTATGGAAAAGTTAAGTTGCCGTTGATACTTGTATCATCATACAAGGAGCACCTTTAGACTTCCCAAAGAGTTTGTGTGTGCCCAGTAGATTTTTAAACTTTTTAGGAAATCTTACCATTATTTTATATCAAATTTAACTTGAAATATCCCTCAGTTTCAAAAACTGCTTCTTATGTGACACAAGGAACTGCTTTTTAAGAAAAACAAATCCCAAATTTCCTTGGGTCCACAAATTTACTTGTGTGGTTCTTATGAACTTGGTCTTTATTTCTAAATCATCTACTTTTTTTGCTATATTAAATTGTTCTTATTGTTTATGTTCCAGATTATGACAGTCCCGAATGACCCCTATACTTTCCTGTCTTGTGGAGAAGATGGCACCGTAAGATGGTTTGATACTAGAATCAAGACCAGTTGCACAAAAGAAGATTGTAAAGATGTAAGAGAGACTTTTGGGTGTAAATAAAAAAGCCATACTTTACGTTTAGAATCTGAGATCCTAAGCTGCTTGAGTACTACTGCTTAGGATTCTAGTGAGTTGCTGAAGGTATGACAGGACAAAACCATAAAAAAATAAATAATCCAGGGGCCTGTATCCTATCACGTAACTCAGCAAAGTTTGAAGTCTTCCTCCAACTTTCACTGGAGGAAGAGATATTTACACTGAAGAAAAGCTCCTTAGGCTAGAGGAAGACTTCAGACTTCTCTGAGCAGAAAAGTAGGATGCATATTTTCATGTTTTTAAAACAATTTTGATGATTTTGCTACTGGTGTTTTTTCTCAAGTATGCATTTTACCCATATAGTTTTTTTCGGTGTTTTACAATCCATTCTAACTATTGTTTTATTCTTCTGTTGTAGCTGTTTTCAGTTCTTGACCTTGCTGCATTGCTCTTGCTTCAGATCCAGTTGTCTACAGATAAATGTCATGTAGCCTGCAGCACATCTTGTGTAAAGTTTCCCTTGTCTAAACCTATTGAAATCATGGGTCTTAAGACTGGAGTAACTCCAATAATTTAAAACTAGTTTAGGCAGTTTCTGTCTTTGCCATCCTCATCCTAGTCACTTTTAACTATCACAGAAGCCTGGTAGATTAAACTTTGTGTCTGTGCTCTTTATCTTCCTAGACAGATTTCAGTAGCTATGCTTACTGATAACATTGGAAACCATTTTTTAAATAAAGGCCAGACTTGACTAAATTTACAACACAGCTCTCTAGATTTTACTTCAGATTGAATTAGTTGGTAGGATTTAATGCTAGGTGTTCATGTGCTTTTTAAATAAATGCAGTGTTTTCCCTTTATTCTAGGATATTTTAATAAACTGTAGAAGGGCTGCCACCTCTGTAGCTATTTGCCCTCCAATTCCATATTATCTTGCAGTTGGTTGCTCTGATAGTTCAGTAAGGATATATGATCGGCGAATGCTTGGGACAAGAGCAACAGGTAGGAGAATACATGATATTGTAAAATGATTTGTATTTGAGTGTTACATTTGAATTTCATCACGTCAACTTTTTAATGTGACTGTTCATTAGAAAGCATAGTTTCTGTGCAGAGACTGGCTTGCAAAGCCCTTGATTATTTTATGTATTTGTATTTATAGTAACTTGTTTCACAGTTTGAAAAAATCTGAAATTCTTCTAGGGTTGATTTGAAAATGTTGTTGTAAAGTGGATGGAAAATTATTAATGTGCAAACATTTATCTGTAACTGCTTTGAGTACTTTTTACCAGAAATGCAGGATAAAAATCTTCTAAATATGACTAAAAGGATAGTTAGGCTGTGATTTAGAGGCCTACATGCACACTGGCATCCATTTGTGACTCTTTCATTGAACCAGTAGTCATCCCTTCTTTCCACATATTCCCAAACTGCTATTTAAACTCTGATTTTTTAATAAACTCCTCTGAGCTCAAAGAGCAGTTTCAGTTTTGGTGCAAGAACTGGTTAAAAGTATAACTCGGAAAGAAAAACTTGCATGTCCATAATAAGGGGCAGTGTCCCTTCCAGAAGTTGCAAATTCCTGTAAAGTAAGGTTAAGTCTTTTGTAAGATTCTGTTATCTCTATTAAATGACATTCAGCATAAACATTAATTGCATTTTTTATATTATATCATAACTTTGCATAGCACTTCACAGAGTAACAATAAAAAGACATGTCCCTGCCCTGAGGAACTTGCAGAACACAATTTGATGTGGGAGTAGAATGGAGGCAAATATAAAATGGGGAAGAAGAATATGTGTTCAGTTACAGATTGATTAGGGGATGAAGGCTAAGGGCTTGTGGTTTCAGTGATGAATTGAGGGCATAGTGTAGATAAAAGATGCTTGGAGAAGGGTATAGAATTTAATTTACCATTACTTTGCAGTTTCCTAGGCATTTATCATGAAGTGTGCTGAGGGAGGGGCATAGGATGGAATTTTTCTATTGGGGGGAAATTAATGTAAATACTGTGGGGACATTCTCTTGTTGCATGTTGATCTAGTGGACTGAATTTCTGTTAGTTAAAATATTCCCACTGTTCTCAGTGCTAAGTTGGAGTCCAGAGGCACCTTTAAGACCAACAAAGTTTAATTCTGGGTATAAGTTTTCATGTGCATGCATACTTCTTCATGCATATGAAAGCTTATACCCAAAATTAAGCTTTGTTGGTCTTAAAGGTGCTACCGGACTCAAACTTTGTTCTGTTGCTTCAGACCAACATGGCTACCCACCTGAATCTGTTGTGAGCACTGTGTATTCCCAGTAAGAAAACAAACAATTCTTGTGCAAAGTTTTTCTGTTTTTTACAATGCCTTATTTCTTGGTACTCACTTCTAGCACTATTCATTTAGTGTGATAAAGGCATAACATTTGCTATATGGCAATGTTATTAGGCCTATTCAGAATGAGGGCAGAAGGAAATGCTGTCACTGTAAAATGCTTTGTTCATTGTGGAACACCCCACACATACAGACAGACAAGGGAAAAGTCAGTGACCAGTCAGTACATGCTTTTTTCACTTCACAAAATCTTTTGCAGAAAGAACCATTGCTGTTTTGACTTCGTGTTAGAAAAGGACAGGAGGGATAGGTTGAATTGATTTGCATGTATGAAATGTAAACTTCATTCATTTTTGTTTATGCAGGTAATTATGCAGGTCGGGGCACTACAGGGTTGGTTGCACGTTTTGTTCCTCCCCATCTCAACAACAAATCCTGCAGGGTAACATCCCTGTGCTACAGTGAAGATGGCCAAGAAATTCTTGTGAGTTATTCTTCAGACTACATATACTTGTTTGACCCCAAGGATGATACAGCTAGAGAACTTAAAGTTCCTTCAGCAGAAGAGAGAAAAGAAGAGGTGAGTGTATGCTATATGTTACCAACAAAATCTTTGACACCACAAGTTAGCCATATTGAAACAGTTCTTAAGAAATATTATTTTTGAAGGGCAGGTGCCATATCTCTTAGCACCTTTTAAAGTGTGCACATGCTACTTTTGCAGGAAAACTTATTAAAATCCTTATTAAAATTCATTCGGAGATAGAAATCCATTGGAATGAAGGAAGTGGAACAGTTTTAAAACAAACATCTAGCTATGATGTGACCCAGGGGTAATTTCGTAGAAAAAGAGGTGCACGAGTTAATTAGCATAACCTATTAGCATAATTTATTTGCATATGCCACACCCCCTGACATCACCGGAAGTGTGTCAGAAGGCAACACCCACCGCTCAGGCTCCACTGGACTGTTTTTTTTATTGCTATTTATTTATTTGGATTTTTATCCCGCCCTCCCCGAAGGCTCAGGGTGGCTAACGGGCATAAATGCCAGATTACAACAATAAAAACAGTATAGATACAATAATAGCATACTATAATTAATTAAAATTCTTAAAAATAGATTTTCGGTGCTCTAATACTTACTTATTCCACATCGTAAACCAAGATGGTGTTCTAAGATGTTATATATCTGAATAACAACAGCGGTGTACGTCCCCACAACCCTGTCATCCCCTAGGGACGTGCGGCTCCCTCCGATGATACCCGCACCAACAATGACGGTGCGCAGTGGTGGGAAAGCGTTGATAGAATAGTGGTGGCGACGGCTCCTACTCGAAAGCCTGGCGGAAGAACTCTGTCTTACAGGCCCTGCGGAACTGCACAAGGTCCCACAGGGCCCGGATCTCCTCTGGGAGCTCATTCCACCAGATAGGAGCCGCCACCGAGAACGCCCTAGCCCTGGTCATAGCAAGTTTGATGGTCTTGGGGCCTGGAATATCCAGGAGATTTTGGCTCCCCGACCGTAGTGCCCTTGGGGGAATATGCGGGGAAAGGCGGTCCCTCAGTAAGGCCGGTCCTTGGCCGACAGATCTAACAACAACAGTGCTGCCACACCGCCTCGATCCAGATGCCTACGGAGATTGTCAGTCAGCGCGACCAGTACAGTCTCCACTCCGTGACCAGGGCAAAAGCCGGACTGAAAGGGATCGAGGACAGAAGCGTCATCCAGAAAGCCCTGCATCTGTGTCGCCACCGCTCTCTCAATAAGTTTGCCCAAATAGGGCAAATTGGACACCGGCCAATAGTTGGCCAATTCGGCCGGGTCCAAAGATGGGGGACGTGCAGATCTGCCCTCATAGAGAAGGGAGAGCTTGTACCTGAATAAAACTTGGTCTTAAAGGTCCCACTGGACTGTTTTGGATTGCTAGCTATGGGGGGGGGGAAACGCGCAGATCTGTCCTCACAGAGGAGGGAGAGCTTGTACCTGAAGGCGGGCTGGGGGAGGGGGCTCCGCAACGTACTTGGCTGCTTCTTGCTCCTCGTGGCCCAACTGAGGGCTGCCGGGAGCAGGGGGCGGAGCTTGTTGCATGTGCCCACCCCCTGGGCTCCTTACTGCGAGCTCCGCTCCTGTGCGCTCCCACAGGAAATGACCCCTGATGTGACCACCTAGAAGATAATATCTTTATTGTATCATCGAGGGATTTAAAGGGTTTTCTGGTTGAGTGATTATTGACTGTGTAACCAACAAACTGAGTAATTAACTAAATATAAATACATTTTTGTGTTACTCGGTCCTCAGTATCGATGTTATTGAAATAACTGAAGGAACCATAAGCCAACTTGAAATGTACTAAACAAAAATTATTTTTCTGTAACTTTATTAAGATTGTAGTGGCCAAACCATGGTATGGCTGTTGGGCCCACTTCTTGGGTTCGTCTATTTCCTCTTCCCTGCTCCCCGACCCTCCTCTCCTCTCATACTCCAGTTCTTTCATGGCTCAGTGAAATCAGACCTTGCTGTGACAGCTCAGTCAGGCAAATGATGGTTTATATAAGCTGTGAATTGGAAAGTATGGTTTGAAGTGAGTTTCCAGTTTGTGGCTTGTTAGGGTATCACAGCAAGCTGTCTTTGCAGTGAACCAGGAAATTCAGAATTGGAGTGTGTGAGGTTAGGAATGCAGGCACAACATGGTTATATTTAATATTTTTATATCAGAATCAAATAAGTCTTAAAATAAAATGTGACCCTAGTTTGTTTTCCTATTAACATTTGCCAGTGGCAATTAAACTTGGTCCTGTCAGTTAATCAAAGTATTTGTCAAGACTCTTACTAGTTAAACTGCTTAAAGCTTACAGGCCTAATTTTGATTATGGTTAATTAAAAAATTAACACCACTACATTTGCAGCTGTTTGCTTTATTTATTATTTCCCTTTGTGTTGTTCAATAATATGCAAATTCTAGAAAAGCAAATTCATTCTACCCTGCTAAGCACAAATCTCTGGCTTGGTTGTTAGCACTGAGCAGAAGTGTGGGCAAGAATAAGAGATCAGGATATTGTAGTGAACTACTTTCAGAGATATGCAACAATATTTATTTATAGACATGTGGTCACTAAGCAATATACACAGCATTAAAAGTATACAAGGAAACCTGCCCATGGATGTACAGAATCAAAGGGTGAACATAAAGGGAGAAGAAAGGACATGTTTGAGGAATGGTGAGAATGCATGCTGCATTACACTCTTTGCTGTTTGTTCATCCCCTTAAATATAGCTCCTTGAGGTTATAAAGACAATTTTATAAACACCATTCATAAACCCTGAATTAGTGAATCTGTATTTGAACAACAGTGTGAAAATGTAGCGTTCAATTACAGCAAACATAATTTCATGTAAATGACAGGAGTTACAACTTACGTGTACATATTTGCCCATTGTGCACAGATTGTGCCTGTCCTTGGTGGCAAGTAGAAAGATCTTTAATCTTTTAAAGCACAATGAAAATGCATTCTTTTTTGTAGGTAATTGCTTATGTTAGACAAAAAAGAAAATTCTGAATTGTTGATCATAAAATCCAGAGCAAGGTGGGAATCTTGTGGTATTGGTATTCTGTATACTTTTACATTTAAACGGGTGCTGAAGAACTTCCATCTGTTCCATGCTGTGGCTGCAAGAACTTGCTGGACAGGCTTACCAATATGAAATTCTACTCTAGATATAGGAGCAGCCATGTACTGATAACAGAATGTTTCCTTGAAGACAGAAATAGCAACATGAAGAGTTCGTCTGGCACTGTTTGTAAGAATCCCTCAGTACTATTTCCCCAAAGCATGTTTTGCCCTACGTGTTATAAAACAGGGAGACACATTTTTATTTATTCAGATACAAATCTGATGAAAGCATATGTAACCGTGTTATGGAATGTCTCCTCCAGTGCACCTGATACATTCTGCAAAACCGATACCTGAAATTTAGTGACTAGGTGTAATAAGTTTCCCATGCCCAGCAGCTCCTATGTCTTGAAAAGAAGCCTCCCCCATGCCACATGGCCAGTTCTTTTTAAAACGGAGAGAATGCTTAAAAGCAGTTTTTTTTTTTCCTCCTCAGACAGGGAGATATTGAAAGAGCTACAAAATTTGCAATATAAAATGTGTTCAGTACTACTGTGCTACTATATTTATTTTTTTATTTACTTCATACTTAATTTATAGTATGATTTTTTTTGCTGAGACCCAAAGCAGATTAATCAATTAAAATGAATGTTGTAGAAACAGTATAAAACAACCAACAGTGAATAAACCTAGGTCACAAAGCTAGAGAACAATGCACCAGAAACAGTATAATACATAGAACGTAGCAACATACAGTTACATACAAATAATGCAACAAAGCTGACTTGCAAAATTGGAGAACGATGCAATAAAACAGTGTCATATACACAAGGAACAAAACAAAGAAAACTCCCTATTGTTTTACTGACTATCCACAGCAATTGCAAAGACTCCCAGGCATTGTGTTACAAATACTCTTTACTACATGACTACAAGGAGATAACCAAAAATTGCCAAAAGATAATACTGACATGTATTTAATTATACAGCCCCTCCAACAGAACTTCATTTTCATCTGTAGAAGAAAAGGCAGCAATTTCTACTTATTTCCACCCAGATTGCCTCTTATGCTGTTCCTAGGGGTCTATTGACCCCCAGGAACAAAATTTCAGGGGACATAGTAGGCCTGCAGCATGAGCAGGGAGTGGGGATGTCCCACTCTGTGAAGTCCACAAACATGCTGTTGTCTTTAGTAAAGCAGTTAACTCTGTTTCCGTAGCCACCACTTCCAGCAGTCATAGGCAACTGAAGAGTTTTTCAATGACAAAATCCATAGCTGTTGCCAAACGTTAAAAATGCCTTCTTTTTATTAGCTATAGTACCATGTCTTTCTCTATTAGACATATAGGTGTTAATCATTTAACTGGCTTACTATATAGCTGTTATGCAGCCCGAAACTAATATAATAAAACGTTTATTTCTTTTGCCTTTTGAGACTTCAGAATACTTATTTTTAACTTGAGTTTACAATTCCAAAGATCACTGGAATTGATTGTGTTGGTCTAGTTTGGGACACTGAGGAGAGTTTGGCTGTGTGTCAGGTGTACCGACTGCCTGGTGCTCAGCAGAGAGACTACCGAGCCTGCTGGAGGCAGTAGCAGGTAGGGATGTGCAAAAAAAAAAAATTCGGTAAAATTCGGATTCGGGTTTATTGGACCCGAATTTTTTCGGGAAACCCGAAAAAACCCGAATATCTATACCGGTAAAGCATAGATATCCGAAAATTTTCGGGAATCCCGAAAAATTCGGGTCCATTGTAACCAATGGGGCCATTGAAGTCAATGGCAAAAATCCTCTTGAAACTTTGCGGGGGGCTGGGGGGGAGGGGGTTTGGGGTAGAGGCTCCAAACTTGGAGGGTGCTCACTGGAACCTCTTCCCAACATGCCCACCAAGTTTCAAGGCGATTGGACAAGGGGGTACAATTTTATGGCCCCCCAAACAGGTTGCCCCCAGATCAGCCTTCTG